GGCGGTATATTATTCAATTTATTAACGTACCTATGTGAGGTCGCCAATTATTTTGGAACCGTTTTAGTGTTTATTCACAATATAATACACAATAAAAATAATGTTTTGCTTATCCTGAACATTCAGATGTTAAACGAAGATATCGATATCGGTGAAAAGTATAAAATGTATTTTGTTCTTTGGAATTGGATATCTTATTTGTGTACAGTTTCCTTTGGAACAACGCTGATAATATTCTCCTATATCTTTTACAATAATGTAAATTATCTAAATGTTTTTTGCATAGATTTTTTATTTTTAATTGTTGACTTGAATATCATTTATGTAATTAGACTCATAACGTTACTGAAGATGTATTTAATTATGTTCCACAAAAATATTCTATTGTCAGAGAATCACCAAGGAAGAAATAGTGATAAAGTTTTAGAAATATATCAAAAGTTGATGGAGGCTTACACTCTGTTTAAGAAAATATCTCATATGCTGGTAAATTTGCAAAGAACAATCCACTCCATTTAAAACTTAGATAAAATCCTTTCGGTTTAGCCCCCTGTCTGTGTAAGAGCCGGAGAGCCATGATCCCGCACACATGAGTCGGCTCTACCGGAGGGACAGGAAACCAGTGTTAAGAAAGTTCTTTCCTGGCATATTGCAGTCCGCCATAGTTATAATTTTGATCTTCTCTATGTGAGCCGCGTCTACTTTACTGTCCATAGTAAAGGATATTTTTAGAGTCTAAAGGCATCAATTAGAATGTATGATTACAGGAAATGCAGTAGAAGTTGAATACAAATTAATTTTTTCACATTTAATTTAATATTACAGATATTTTTGCACTGTGCCGATTCGTTCATCCGTTGTTTAGTTTATATAGAAATGCAATTAGAAGGATATAAATTTGTCAATGGCAATGTAAGTTTGAATTGAAAGTTAATTTAAAGTAAATATATGAAACAGGAATAGGAAAAATAATATTTTTAGTCACGTTTAAGGAAAATTACAGTTTCGGATTCTATGCAATACTTATATTTGCAATGAAGAACATTTTTCTAATAATATCTTTATGCATGCAATGTGAAACATTCTATTTAACTATTGAGGATATTGAAACTGACTGTACGCTGCGCCTGATGGACGTACATTGTACAGGTATGTCACGATAGTTTTAATTTAAATGGTTATAAATCCACAAAACATCTCAATATCTCCTTTTTATTTTTACAGACGATAAAGTACTTTACAAAAGTATAATCCGACTAAATCGTGGTGGTTACAATAAGGTAACTGCATGCCGCTTGTTTGAAGTAGACGCTGCATTTCCGCCGAGTTTCCTGTTGCTACTTACAAGTTATATAATTGTACTACTGCAGTTTTTCATAGTGTGACATGTATTTATAATAATTTATAATATACCTTAAGATAATAATATATGCAGAATATATGCAGTTGTTTCTAAACTAATATCGAAATAATAACCTTCGTAATCGTAAAAAAAAGTTTCTTGTTCTTGAATTTTTTACTTTGTATACCAACCCCCAACGCAATGGGCGGGCCCTGGGCTTCCACTCTATCAAGCGAGAGGAGTTTTTTTAAACTTAAACTAATTAAAAATAATCTTCAATCTACAATGAATCAAAAGCAAAAAAAAAGGAATTATTTCGCGGAAGTTATTGAGGAGTGCAGTTAAATGAAGGTACCACAAAATACATATAATATGTCATAATAGCTACATACCGAAAATAAGCTCTACATATTACTTTATTATCACTTGCTTCATCGATATCCAAATTCCATGTATTTTTATTATCACTTATACATTACTACTTACTAATTACACTTATGTGAACACAATAAAAAGCTTGTAAAATTACATCAACTTACCAAACTGGGGGCCTCATATAGCTTTGTCGTCCCGGGCCTCTGACGAGCTTAGTCCACTACTGACATATGGGCCTATGTGTAAGAGGTTCTAAAAACCCTTAACAGATTACAGCGAGTAAGGGAATCTAAACGGTTACTGTCCAGGATGACCCTTGCAAACTAGAAGTAACCATAATAGTATGTGGAATGTCTCCTGTAAGAAATCCTTTGAATCTTAACACCAACTTTTATAAAAACGGTTTAAAAAAGAAATAGTACCGTCGTGATCATTTTAAACTTCCTTTTATTCCATTTCGGGTCGGCGCGTAAAATTGCCGGTGGTTTTGGCACGTTGCTTTTAAGCTGACCCCCAGATAAACTAAGAACATAAGTTGTATTGAGGAAAATGGATAGGACAAAGTATAAACGCAAAGGTAAAGGATACCGTCATTCTCGGAGGTGAAACGGACATCAACCTCCCTTTGTTACCTTTCACTTCTAAATTGTCTATACTCTATATTGTTCCATAAAAGTACTTAGATACATTGGTTTTTTATACTAGCACGTTTACTACTATAGTGAATATCGAAAGCAATAGCAATAATATATTGTTCAATTATATATAGGTAAATAAGCAGAATCAAAACATTCGTTTTGTATGGGATGGAGTAGTCCAGCCCCGACGGGAAACGGCTAGTGGTGAATAAATTAACTATATCAGTTAATTTCTGCTGAATTCTATTGTAGGTTATAGAAAATTTAGATTATATATAAATTAAAAGTAAAAAATTGATATATAATTAAACACTCGGCCCTCCTGATGGTGAGCAGTGGAGCAGGAGATAGATAATGAAACTCTGTTACTTACTTCGGTCACGGTACTATTATAATACAGTACTCCAACTTCATACAAACGGACGAAACGCGAGCTATACCTACGCGCCTCGATCTCGGGGTGCGCTCGGGGCGCAGACAGTCAAGGCTGTAACGCAGTGTCGAACGGACTGTGTGTTGTTTTTTTAACAATAAGCGCGCGATTTTTTCTCTAAAAATCAGTTAATATGACGAGTAGGAAATATTGTGCTGTTTTTGGTTGTATGAATTCGTCAATAACGCATCCAGACATAAGTTTTTTAAATTACCTGGAAACTCTGAAAGGTAAGACTATAAAATAATTTTAGTTACTAGTAGGTAGGTACATAATGTGTGTCGTTTTAATGGATAAGTATTTCCTTTTATCTCACGAAAAAAAAAGGTGTTTGGATTAATAAATAAAGCGAATAGAGTAACGGAAAATTATTGAGACGAGTGAAATAGGTAGTGTATCAAAATGTATAGGGAGTGAATAAAAAAACAACACGCATTTTTATTGAACACTTCCTATTCAATATATAAAGTATTTCATTTATTTATATAAAAAGGATATTTACAATCACAAATCTAAATAGAAACAGAAAGTAGGCAAATATAATTAAAATGCTGGAGACGGGCAGCCCTAACGCATGTTTACGTACCGCGCGGCTGTAGGCATTTATTTCTATCATGCCGCCGAGTTACAGTACCGTATTATAATTTTACCGTGCTTCGGTCTTTATCAAAAATTTTTTTTAACACTACGATTAGTACAGATATAACAGAACTGTAAACGATACTGTAAAAGTATAAGTTTTAAAGAAAATTATAATAAGCTGATTTCACAACTAGATAGATCATCAAATCTTTATGCTGTCAACGTAAAATTATAGCACTAGGTAATGGAGTCAATCCTATTTTAAGTATTAGTTATAGTCTGCTGTTTAATTATATAAACACAATGATCATTGAAGTAAAGCTGTTACATTATAAAGTTTCCTTCACTATGGTTGTTACTATTCAGTATAGAACGTGTATTTTTTGTCTTACAAAAATACCCCACAAATGAAAACTCTGCTACTTCTGTGTTAGTTCGTTCTTCGTTCTTTCTTCAGTATGTCCGCTAATGGAATGCTCTTCTTTTAGGAAAAATAAATATTTTCATTTATTGATTCTAGAATTTCTCATTTAAATGTAAGTGTGTGTGTGCCTATGAACCAATTATTACGATACCCCGTGGCAGATGGTATTAAGTCAGCCCCCCGGCGCCTCCATCGCGGTCGATTCGGTCCTCGTACCGGTTCAGGCCCAGATGAATTATCTGCCCTAGGGCGACTTTTGCCCAATTTGGGAGGAGCCAGAGTCGCGACAAGACGGCTGTACACGGGGGTTGTCCAGTCAATGGCACTGTACTGACCGCCCAGAATAGGGCACGCCTCTGGCGCCCTCAGAGGATATTGGCGGTTAGAGCCATACGCGGTTACCGCACCGTATCGACGGAGGCGGCGTGCGCGTTGGCTGGAACTCCCCCGTGGGATTGGGAGCGGAAGTGCTCGCCGAAGTATATCGGCGGACGGCTGAGTCCCGGTCGGATAGCGGCTTTCGGCCCCCGATAGAGATAAGAGATACGCGAGTGGCGTGAGGCCGCTCGCCGAGCAGCATCCTTCTGCGAAGACGTCGTCTCGCGGAAGGAGGCGGCGGAGAGGGCCCGGGTGGACAACCTCCCCTTGGACCCAATTCATCGTCGGCGAACCGGGCGGCGAAGGCGCGCTTACCATCGCCTCATGCCGCCTTGAGTGTGCCCGCGGGTGGACGGGACGGGTTTTCCCCTCCACCTGCCATAACGGCCAGCCGCGAGGAGGCGACGTCCGCGTGTGCCGGATGTCGCCTAAATGGAGAATGTACCCGAAGTTGGTGCCCGCGCCATTGCGGGCAGGTGCTAGGAGGGGTCCGGATGTCTTAATAATAGCGGTTCCCGGATCTCCCCTATTGTAGGCGCAGAGTGGCACACCATGTGGTCGGTCCGATTCCGACACACCACCTCGCCGCAAACCCCGGTGGGGTGACGGCCCGAGGGGGTTTCCACACGAAAAAAAAAAACATCTTAATATCAACTAAATCAACTGCCCTCGTCAACAAAACCGGAAAGAGAAGATCCAAACAATAAACTTACAAACTGTTAACAAAAGTAACAGTATAGTCAAGTTAACAAGGAAGAAGCGGTATCGATCCTATGTGAGCTATGTTTAATTTTGATAATAGGTAGGTACATTCATATATTGATCGGAATGGTTTTGGGGTGAGGTGTTAATTTTATTAAAAAACATCGTAGTCGCTATATTTAGCGACTACGATGTTTTTTGGACTTGGACTATTGTCCAGCATGGGGCTGCAATAGGCTGGTAATTAATTTCATCATAATAAATACGTTGTTTCATAGACTATTTTAAATAATTTAAATACAATTTTAAAACTCTGAAAGAGGAACAAAAAAGTCATGGGTGCTTTTTCATTCAATTTTAGATATCTTTGCGGCAAGAGGGCATAGCATGGATGAAAGTAGAAAATTAAGGCTATCTGAACCATATTTCCCCAGTCCTTTGATCGAGACAAAGACAACTAAGTTTTGAATTTTATTTTCAGGCTGTTTACTCGAAGCGTTTTTAGTGGTTTTATGCTTTTGCATTTTTTCTAGACAATCAAAACGAAAATCAAAATTTCGAGGTCACCGAGGCTCTAAAAATTGTCGTCGTATAAATTACGAAAAATGTACTTTAAAGTTTTGACTTTGCCAACGTAATTATAACAAAATTAAGAGCAATAAAGTTACTATGACCCATACTAATATGTATTCTACATTTTAAAAAAAAAGACAAAGTTATTGGAGTGTAATAGTATCTTAGTAATTTTATGTAAAAATCACATCAGCTTGAACGTAATAAGCCTCTTTAGCTTTAATGATTATTTAACTTTGTAGTGCTTAAGTCAGTGTTTAGTGATATCCCTTGGCTCATATTGTAATTTTTTTATTTTTGTTTCAGGCTGTTTCCCCATTACTTCTACTCTTTTTTGCAGTCTTATATGACGATATTTTCCGCACAACCAATTCTACCTCCAGACGAGAAAATACTCCGTATATATCAAGACGTCAAAAACATTATCAAGATATTTACTCAACCTTCCGATGCTAAGAACTATCAAGATCTGGTCGAAGAGACCACAGACTATCAGAACGTTGACAGTATCGACAAAATAAAAGACAAATTCAAAGTTCTAAACATAAATACAACGGATTTTGATGACGATGATGACAAAAGACCAGAGTCCAAACACTTGGGCCCCGATAGTGAAGGGTTGATTCTCATTACGTCATTAGTAACATCGTGTATAAGGGGTTTACATCACTGCACGTCAAAACTGTATGCTTTGGAGATTTTGCAGCTGTTGTGTGAAAATTCAAGTTCGGAGACGATTTTGGATAGAATCCTACCTTATATAGTAAGTAAATATTATATTAGAAATGTAAGGGCCACCAACCATCCGGTCGAATACCGGCATTTAAGCGATTATTTCGGGCCAAGTGCCGTATAATATACTCAGCTACTTAACTACTGCGTAAAAAATATAGTCTCTATATTAACAAACAATTTTGCTTGTTTTCATAGACGGTCTTAAAAGCAAAGCAATTATAAAAATGAAAAATAGTTTGCTGAAGTGGCACATTTAAATAGTATGTGCGAACGTTTAATATGTACGAAACACGTACCGAACTTAAGTTCTGGTGTCTTGTACACCTTAACTTAAGTTCGGTACGTGCGCCTTTCTCTGTTAATTAATACTGGCCTATGTTACTCGCTGATAATATAGTTTTCCATTGGTGAAAGAATTTTTTAAATCGGTTTAGGCCTGAAAATGTAAATTCTTTCATCAATGAAAAGCTATATTATCAGCGAATATCATTAACCACTTTTTACAGCGATAACTGACATATACGCGGGCGGAGCCGCGGACAAAAGCTAGTTTATAAAATAAGTATGAAAGTATGGATACTTAAATGAATTAGTATCTTACCGATTGGCATATGTTACTTCTACGAGTATGTGTAAGCAATAATTATATAAGGAAAAAAAATGGTAGTGGTTAACCACACAGAGCACACTATGGCTAGATTGACTTAGGAGTTCTATAATCGCCAGTCTTTCGGTTGTCGGATATTCTTCTATTAGACTTCGAGTTTTGGCCGGATCATGTGTCCAGCTATCTATTTCTTATCAAAAATATGTCGTTTAGAAATGATACATACAGTTATACAATTTTACTTTTCAGTGGGTATTTGACATGAAAACTTTTTTTATATTTATAGATACATTTGTCACACGACAATGTGCCCCGTGTTCGCGCACGAGCCGTTGCGACTTGTGCTAAAGCTGTATCCTTAGTACAGAATCTACCTAAAGCTGACTGCAATGTCTTCCCGGAGTATATACTGCCGGAGTTAGCGCCTCGAGCAACGGATCCCAGCGTGCCTGTTAGGCAGGCGTATGCTAATAATATTGGTGAGCTGGACTGTGAATATTTGTAATCCAAACCATAAGCACATGTTTACAAGGCAAGAGACGCCTTCTTAAAAGATATTTTTTTTGGTTTCTCTTACAATCAACCAGGTTCAGACAACTGCCTTTTTACAGCCTTACAATTATGTTCGTGTTTCCTTTTACTCGTTTTTTTTTTGTCATCGTTTAATTATAAACATGCCTATTTTTTTCATTGCTTTTTGCTTAGAAGAAAAGAAGAGAGCGCTGAAGTACTAATTTAAAACACATTAGTAAAAATAATTTCGGTAAACGGTACAAAATGAGGGTTTTACGGCCATAAAACCCGTCGATCGCGGTCCAACAGTTGATGTTTGTAGTTCATTTTTTGTTATTAGATCAAAAAAATAATTTAACCATGCAGTTTCCGTTGTTTTCTGTTTGGTATGTTTTCGCAGGATGAGATTAAAGTATTTTTTATGTCAAATGTGTAAGTCACCATACTTTACGAATCCTTCTCGATGTCAATTTTTGTATTGCGAAGAAACACTTAGAGTTGTGCATACAAGACTTAAAATAGGCATAATTAAATTAAAATAATAAATATATATTATAATTTTAGCAAAATTGGCGGAGAACGCAGTGCGGTTCCTAGACCAGACGCAGAATATGGTGGATAAGGAGGCGGCTAACATAAACTATGAAAGTGAATTGTCAACTTTACATGAAATGGTTAGTATACCTTTTCTTCAATAACCTTATGTCTGGTTTATACGCTTGCCAAGGCTTGGCAAACGTCGACAAGCCATTGGTGAAAGAATTTTTTAAATCGGTTTGGGCGTGAAAATGTAAATTCTTTCATCAATGGAAAGCTATATTATCAGCGAATATCATTGACTACTTTTTACTGCGACAACGTCCACAAACGCTTGAATGCCATTTACACGCTTGCGAGTGTGTTAGTGTGTTCCGGACAGGCAAACATAGCAGTCGTGGACGTTGTTAAAGTTGTGTCGACTATTGTGTTTGGCTTTTCATATTTTTATTCAAAATATAAACAGCGACACTAAATACGCGATAAATAAAAAAAAACCTCTAGCCCTAATGCTTAACCAGTAGAGATTTGGGACTTTATCTTGATACCCGACTGCTTAATTTTTATCAGGTTTAGCAGTCCAATTGAATAGTAGGGAACAAGCGTTTACCACAAGCTTCTTTCGATTTGTGTTAAAAACCGACTAGCCTGGATCAACGACGAGCGAACCTCGATTACACGCTTGTGTTTGTGGACACCTGTTGTGACTTCCCAAGCGTGTGAACGTACCATTATTTTAATACTACCTAGTACTTAATACTCAATAGATAATCTCTAGAACTGCTAGTCAAATTAGAATCATCTTTTTCTATTTAATAGCCAATTTATTAGTAACTTTAATTGCGCTACAGTGGCTTTCCTTAATTTGATGGGTATGATTTATGTGGTTTTTTTCAAAGATACACCATAATTATGTTCATACGTTTACTACAAACATTAAAAGTCAGGTGCACAAAATAGGCCGAGACCTATAATATGGGTGTCCTGGCTTCCTCCAAATATACAAATTCAAAGTCAAATTTTCAGGTTAGGTCAACAGTGTCGTATCTGCTGACGGATTCCCAAGCAGTGGTCAAGCGTGCATTGATAGAAAATGGCATTACCAAACTTTGTATATTTTTTGGTAAACAAAAAGGTGAGTATTATACCATTTATATTTACATCTTCTCAGGTGTATACTAAAAGTATCTTCATTTCTTTATACGATGTTAATATCTTACATCTTAACTTGTACCTACATCAGACGATAAAAACTAAAGATAATTAAATAGGATTCACACGTGTCATGGACAATTTACTTGAAATCTTTCATGACTGTCTGTTTGAAATTGTATATAAAAAATATTTCTTTTAACCTGCAAGGCGAATCTCAGTCTCTTTGGTGCAATCAAATCCAGGGTACACGGATGTTTGTTTTACTTCTTAATGTTCTTCATATCTCTGTTTATACAGAATCTTGTCGTAATTGGCTCAAAACCCAAGACCAAAACAAATTCAAATATGATATTTAAAGTTAGGAACCGCAAACAAAACAAGTTCAAAATACATCGCTCTACTAGATCCGTAGTAAACTTCTGCTAGGGCTGTAGGCTACAAATATCTAACACCATGGTCTCCACAACAAGCCTACATAGAACCTTTTTGATATTGCTGATCATTTTTTTAGTTAAGATTATTTTTCCAACTTTCAGCCAACGACGTCATCCTGTCACACATGGTAACCTTCCTCAACGATAAGGAAGAGGCTGCTCTTAGAGCGTGTTTCTTCGAGCGCGTAGTGGGAGTCGCCGCATATGTTGGATACCACTCAGCGCCTATATTAGTTCCTTTACTTCATCAGGTAAATAATGATTGCTGCAATAGATTCTCTGTGTCCTTATGTCCTCAGAAATAGACAAATAAGTGATACAAAGTACACATGGACTCTTGAGCATTTGATAACTTAATTTGTTACATCTTCAACACCATTAAAAGCTACCGAGGTTCAACCTAGGTTTAAATTACTTTAAGGAAATTGTTGTTGGTTGAAGTATGTTTTAAAATAAATATATACTTATCCTGGCCCTAATAATTGTTACAATATAAAAAAGCATATAAATTTGGAATCTGTAATTCTAATATGAATATTCATTGTGTTTTCTCATTTTCACTCCAATCGGTGTTAAATAAAGGTGTCTCAGTAAGAGTGCACTTTTAAATTTAGAATCTTTTTTTTTTTCTTGCAATTGGCAACTATGAAATTGAAAAATCTCGGGTTTTAAAAACTATTCCTGAGTTCAAATCAGAGATCCAACGCGTTATCGGTGAGGTACAGTCACATCTCTGTGTAAAAGTCATGGAAAATTTCATGTGAACAGTAATGGCCTGTCGTCAGAGCCTTGGGGGCCATTTGCCGGATATTTTATTCTATACTTAATCGGTACATGTTTTCTGTACAATCCAATAAAAATATCACACCTCTTTCATAAAATATGTGTTTTTATTTTTAAATGAAAAAATGCACTCTCACCCTTTATTTTAGGGATATCAAAATGGAGTAGTGTGATATAGAGAACCGAATAGCTGTGATAGCTTTACACAAAGTAGGAAGCAAAAGATTTTATCTCGAGAAATGAATATAGCGCCTAGAACTATGTCGCACAATACATGTTGAAAGATGGTCTGGTCATTATTTAAGTGATAATTTAAAAATGAAAAGGGTAGTAAAGTCAAAAACTTAACTATTGAACAAGCAGAATAACCGAGTTTATGCTCAAAGCTTTATGAAAGCTTCTCTTCTGGCCTGCAGGTTCGCGCGTTGCTCACATAATGTGAAAATCACACTGTTCCCTGCATATTGTACTACTTTCTACACCTGCAGCCTGAGGGCTAGATTCACTAAAAATCGTACAACGTCCTCAGAGTACAATATAACAATGCGTTCAGGATGCTGGTGGGGCTGCCTCGATTCTCGAATGTTTGCGGACGCACACGTAGACTGCTTTTAAGCATAGATGTGGAAGAGGTGTGCATCCCTGTTGCGCAAGATTCGAGCCAGCACTAACAGCATCCTACGCATGATATCGAGTAGGCTGGATTGTACGTATGTGAGTCGCTGCTGTGCTGTCTCTGCCGGGATTGCACAGCAGTGACCCACATACATTATAAAAATACTTGTTAAAAACAAAAAAAAAAACATGGGACACCTTTAAAGAATGTTAATAATAATATTAGTGTGAGTCCTGGTTGTTTGATGAAATAAATGAATTATTATTATTAGTTAACAGAGTGCAACTAGGGCATTTTCTGACTACAGTGATGAAGCGATGAAGATGAAACAATCAATAAGATTGGTAGTGAAGAATTTCCCATGGAAAGAATGCTTCTGTTTTGTTCAATAGAAAAAAAAAAAGGTTTTTCCTTGTAACAATATTAATTGCAAGACCTGGTATATGCCGACAACTACATTAAAAAACAAATGAGACCCATCCCAATGTGTAACCTAATATCTATGAAAGGCGTTGTTTATTACAGGGTCTTACAGATCAATCAGAGTGGATTATAGCGAAAGCTCTCAGAGCTACAACCAACCTGGCAGAACTGGGGCTACTACCGAAACCAACGTTATTCTACCTTGTAGCGGAAAGCGTTGTGTTCTTAGCGCATCCCAATTTATGGGTAAATACTCGTTTATATTTTATGAGATTTACAATATCAATTGCGTCGGGGTGTTACCATTAATAAGTTTGACGTGTCTGTGTGTGTGTGTGTGTGTGTGTGTGTGTGTGTGTGTCTGGCATCGTAGCTCCCGAAGGGATGAACCGCTTTTGTTTTTTTTTGTATTTTATGTATACATAACCCAAACTAAAGACTAATTAATGATATACTGGAAAATTGTTTTAAACACACATAACCGAATCGGTGGGTGGTATCCGAGGGGATTTCTCCACAGAAAAAGAAGAACGGTTAACGGAATATCTGATCGAATGAATGCATAATAAGAAACCTGATGCCTGATCTTGATTTTTTAGTTCCAATAGAAAGTAAGTATGGTATATGTAGTAAAATTATATTTTTCATTAGATCTGTCACGAAGCCTGCGGCCTGGTATCCTGTGCGTCGAACCTTTTCAACGTGATCGACGTGCACTGCAAGATATTGCCTTTTGTGTGGCCCTACCTTAAACACAGACTCATGCAGGTATTTCTTAAGAAAATTAAATAATGCCGTTAAATATGCATGTAAACTTTCTGAACCTTGTTACGTCGCCCTTAAACAATCAAACAATCTTTGGTATGGTACAGTAGAGTGGAAGGGGAGAACATGTTGTATTGACCAAAAATAAAATTGAGTGCGATTTATCTCTTAGAACTAATTAGATAGAGAATAGAACTTATTCAATAATTTTTAAAGATTTCTCATTGGAATGCAATCGGCGAATGTGTTTCGTTATAATAGGTCGGGGAAAAAGTCTACGAGTATTCATGTTTTGTATGTATAAAATTGAAGAAAAATCTATTTGGTTCTATTGTTTGTATTTGGTTGGTTTTCGAAATCGAACAAACGAACAAAAAAATTCGATACATTCTGAACTTTTGTTACAAATAAAAAGAAATGCGTTTTAAGTCGGGAAAAAATTGTAACGTTTATAGACCTAATGAAGTGTTAACAAGCGTAGCACAACGTTGGTGTAAGCATTTTCACCTTGGGAATTTTGATGTTAAAGATACAGCTCGATGATGCAGGTAGACAGCTCAAGTTGCGACTCGAGCCCTATACATAAGGTTCGCATTGTATATGCCTTATATCCAAAAGTTCGAGTCGCAACTCGAGTTTTGGATATAAGGCTCGAGTCTTCAATTTATTGAAGGCTCGAGGGCTCGAGCTTTCTAACAACACTAAGCGAGATTGGCATATTAGTAGTTACGCTAAACCGAGGAACTGAGGATTGACCATAAAACGGTTTTCTCATCCCATTTTTAAAAAGATTGATTAACGGTGAAGATACGTGGATTACCTAAGACTAGAACGTGCGAAAAAGATTAACACGCAGTAAGCCCAAAATCGATCTGATTGGCGTGCAATGAGAGAGGCCTATGTCCAGCTGTGGACTGCGGTAGGCTGATGATGATGATGATGAAGCTGATGATGTTTGTATGATAAGATTAAAAGGGCATCGTTCATTGTGAGCTTTTACCGCCGGGCAAAACCATCGATTCGGACCTCTACTGTCAACGACTAATGAGACTCAAGCAAGAAATAGAAAAAAAACAACCGGAATTGAACAACAGAAAAGGAGTGATCTTTAATCCTGATAACGCTAGACCACACGCATCTTTGGCCACTTAGCAAAAATTGAGCGAACTTGGTTGGGAAGTGTTAATGCATCCACCTTATAGTCCAGACCTGCACCTTCAGATTTTCACCTGTTTCGGTCTCCTTAGAATTCTTTGGGTAGTGTCAGGTTAACATCAAGCGAGGACTGTCTAAACTATTTGTCGATTTTTGATCACAAAAATCCCAAGATTTCTACAGTAACGGGATTATGTCACTACCTTCAATATTTTTAGAAAAAACAAAATAAAAAAATTTAGAATTGTATATAAAATACGAGTAAACTTTATCCCCAACCTTAAAACTCAGTCTTTTTTGTAGTCGGTTCTATTTTCAAGTATTATTTAGTACATTCAAGTACAAAAGAGTCTGTTAAAAATGACATCATAGATTCGTTAGAAATTATAATAAATAAAGAAAACTATTCGAATTAATTCGAACCTGTTTCTGGGCTTTTATTTATTGACCTATATTATTGTCTTTAGGTGGGACGACCCGAACTCCTATTAGAAAGTCTAGCGGAGCCAATTCCACGGAAGGTTCTAGACGCGGTACTTCGGCATGGGGATGTGAAGAATCTTGTGAAAACATTGAAAGAGAGGAGGTCCACCAGACAAAAAGTAAGATAAATCAATGATTTTATTTGTTTTCACATTAATTGTGTTACTTTAAGTAACATCGTTAAGCTATATTTTTTTTATTAAGGCATAAGCAATGTATAAAGTTTCTTATCGGTCTCCTCTTATAAGTAACACGTGATCATCGGGACTTAAGTTCGTCATTGTGTTAGATATCTTCAAACTGTTCCGTTTTTCCTTTCGAAGGTTAACCAGGGTACAATGCCAGAGTACTCCGAGATGGGACAGCAACTCAGGAACTTGTTTAGGCGATTAGCGTCGGATGGTAAGCTTCTAAACATATACCTTGTACTGATTCTGTATTGTATGTACCTATTTAAGTATATATTTTTTAGGATTCCTTCTTAGATTCTAGATTTTTTGCGACTATTTCAATATTTTTGTCCTTCACTTATTCAATCCCTCATGATAAGAAATCAAATGAGTGAAGAACTTCATCAGGTATTCCTTCATATCCCCAACCATTTTAAAAAACCATCGACCTCAGGATCTTTCGAGCTCGATTCGAGGAGGGGTTTACGAGTTAATATGAAGTTTTATAATCATGACCCATTTACTTATTATTGTTTATTTATCTATTCTAAATATAAACACTCGTAAGCAGAGTCGTGAATAAAAGAGATTTGATACTTAGAAGTGTAACAAACAGGTTCTCTATTCAATTTTTTTGTTTATATGTCTCTTTCTTTATTCTAATTTGAATTGTAGGTATGACGGAGCACGTAGAAAATCAACTGATAGCGATGAGCGTACATCTAATTAAGATACAAGGATCATCGACTCAGGTTGGTTCACATACATAAAAATTATTTCTATATCCATTCCTCGATAATCTGTTGTTCCGACTTGTTCCCCAATATCACCCACTAGCGCTACTTTAAGGCTCCCTATAATATGTTCCTTCCTCGCTTAGTCCATCCTGGTCACACCACACATCCATCTCAACAATTGCAATTTATGTAGATGCACACATCTCCCTTCCACTTCTCTCTATGTTGTTAACTTTAATGAGTTTATTTTTATGCATATAATATGTGTTACACACAATAAGTACTGAGACGCTTAGTTTTAAATAACAGTTAATTAAACTAAACTCAGTTATGTATGTCTTTACATGGCACAAAATTAAGTCGCTTTATTTATTGTACGCTTAGATCTTTTAAACTAAGCAACGGAATTTAATTTGGTTTTCACCTATAGAGTGTGATTCAATAAGGAGGTTATATGTATACATGCATATTATAGTAAAGAAAACAGAATTTTAAAGATTTATTGTAAAAAACATGGTTTTGCGCGCTTACATTGCTAACGCTGGCTAATCCTTACGATCTATCTCGTAAACAAAGGAACTACGGAATTGTATATCTTAAAAAGATCTATAAAAAATGTCTGCGCTTTCATATCTCTATCTTCTAAGTATAACCCATAGTAACCATTTTTGTCTTTTAAATATTACAATATTGTCCGTGTAGTGACGGGTTAAGAATACGGAATGTCACTACCCCAATTCATCCCGTGGGTGTCGTAAGAGCCGACTAAGGGCGCAAAACATACATTAATATTCCTTATCCAATTAAATGCGTTAGATACGTTGTGTAGTTAATTTAGATTTACAGCATATCATTAGAATTAATATTTTAGAAGACATTAGAGGCTGAAAATGCGGGGCCGGGGCCGTGCGTCCGTCCCGGGTAGCAGCAGCCGGCAGGATCGGAGCGGGCCTATAAATATTGCACATAAAGATCTCTTGTAGTATAGAAATAGTATAATTTATTACTCCACACTGACTCCACATTAGTAGTACTAGTAGTAGCTACATTGCACCCGTGCGAAGCCGGGGCGGATCGCTAGTACCTAATAAAATACATGCACATTTACTGTTTCACTTTCACCAGCACATAACAGAAGCTCCAGGTCGTTTGGTACTCCAGCTGTCAGCGATTTCTCGAGCCGTACAGCTACAGGATACAGGCGTCGCGGATTCATTACCGAACCTGGATAAGATGTATACTTCGGGACAAAATAGGTAAACATATTTTATATATAACTATGAACTACTTGAATTGACTACTGAACTGACTTGATTGAACTACGCAAGACAACAGCACTGCAAAGAGAAGGAAAACTTGAAACAAACCCTATACCAACCCGTCTGGCCAGCGTCGTATAGTAGGCCATAACCTCCTTTCAGAGGAGAGGCCTATGTCCAGCAGTGGACTATCATAGGCTGTTGATGTGATGTGACTTGAATTGTTTGTGGTTTACGAATTATTTAACACTCCTCAAATTTAGAGTTTTAATAGGAGTTTAAAAAATTAATTTGTCATTACATATTTTCAAGGAACTTATATAACTTACTTTTTAAGTCTATATGCGCTAAAACTTCTTTTCTAAGGAGAAGCTTATGTCCAGCAGTGGACTGGATCAAGGATGATCATCCTCCATTCAATCCACTGGTAACGGTAAATTTGACAATGGTGCTAATACTGTTCTTCGGAACTCTTGTTAAGTACTACGTTTTCAGAATACGAAACGTTGTTTGACGGGACTAAACAAATTTTTAGTGATTTTGTGAAGCCCCTACAATAATCTAGTACTTTTTTGTAGACGTACTCAGAAGTCATCAATCACGCACGAGACGCACATGAATACAGAATGGCAGCACATGTTCGGTCACTCGCACGATCAACATTCACGAGGTAACTGTTGAAATTGATTTTTATGACATACCACTAAAGTTTGACAATATTTGTTTGACACAGTACCAAAATTTAAAGCATTAGTTAACCATAGATAATATAAATACTTACGTGTCATAATTTAATATTTTTGATCTGTGTTCAGTGGGTAAACAGTGACCGTTGACGTTTTGAAGAAGTAAATATTGCAATTGCTTTCTCACTTTAATAATATTAAAGTAGATATATAAATAGCAGTAGACGGAAGCGCATAAGTGAGAATAAAGGCTTATATGGTAATTTACTAAAGCCCTTTAAGTGCTGCGGTCTTTTGGAAATTGGATATACCTACATATATAAAAATGTTATGTGAGCATGTGTATGTACAGTGTTATTATATTATTATGCTTATCGTTGTGATGCTTTCAGTGTCAGAAGGCGGTTCAGCTTCGGTAGCGGCTAGTGGGGTGGCTTCACAAGCGTTGAGCGTTCAGCCTCAGCACTCACAGATGGGTCACAGCGCGAGCTACGTGCAATGTAATGTATTATTTATTATAACAGATTACCTTTATCTTAAGTATGGACTGGTACAATAATTTTATAAAGTATTATATTTTAATTAGTTCCTAAATATTTACGTTACTTTATTCTAGAATAGTCTCGTTGGTGGTTTAAATAAATTATTGTACGGTTCTGAAATTGATCTGTAAACATTAAAAGTAAATGATCCGTTGATACCAAGAGTATGACGTCACAACTAGTATTTCGTGCAACTGCTATAAAAAATTAATGGTTTGACGTTTAACAAAGTGAAATTTATGTGACTTACAATATTAATGACCTTACGGAATCATTTGTAAAATAAGCTGTTATTAGTAAAATTAATTCCTTAGAAGGTAATCTTTTGAGCGTTTCTAATTTTTATGTCGTTTACAGATAGCATGGCCCCGTGTCGCATCGAGTTGAGAGACCTCACGAGTCGAATGCAACAAAAGTTTAAAAAATCTTTAAAGTTAGTATACCTGTTGCAAATTCTTATTAGCTGTCTAATTTACCATCTTCAAGCAATAATATTTTACTTTCTGTACACAAAGATAACATAATTATGAACTGTTTACTCCTATGTTTAGCAACCGATTTTTTTACCTATTGACGGACTTGTGTTAATAACATCACTAATGTCGAGCTATTGGAATCGATATGTAGTCGAAAGGGACTCGGATATTCCCTTAGAAGGTATCCCCGAGAATACCGGTAGCCCTTGGCCGCTATGGGTAGCCACACCATTGAGTATAGAGGGCCCTGCCTTCCTTCCAGGAGCTCGGAAAACGTCGCGCCACTGTTTTTAAGCCTGTTTCTGCTAGCGTAACGGGCAGCCTCACCCCAGGCCAGCGTTCATGGTGGTCGGAAATCATGCTCTTTGTGGCGAACAGAAGTCCTTAGATCGTATCAGAGTTTTAGAACAAAATAACTGAAACTCTATTTTTTGGGGTATCAGTTAACCCATTAAAATCAATATGTACATTATTATTATTATTATTACCAGAGATCACCTGGCAAAATGTCTATAAAATTACAGTAAGAGTTATACAAGTCAATGTAATAAAAGAAGACTCAAAACGGTCAAACTCGACCGCCAGGCGTTCTTTACTTAATAACAAAATATTGATAATATTTCTTTTGTTGAGACGAGAATTCTAACGGTTAGATATTCGGTTTTGTAGTTTGCTAATCTATAGATGAAAATAAGGGTGTTTAAGTATATTTATCCGTGTTATAAAATCCATTGCGAAAAGCTACGTTTCATTTAGATTTTTACTCAAATAAACTGTTTTAAACGACATTGGTCCAAGAGTATTATTTTTAAAACGACGTATAGGTCTAATAATACTCAGACATTTCCCTACCACCCAAAAGCAGACTGGAAGAAAATGCCTTTGGCATTAAGTACACCATTGTACAGTAATTGTAATTTGTTCATAAAGAATAAAATAATCAAAATAATAAGAATATTATTTTTCAATTACACAGTGTTTGTACACATTGTAAATGGTTTACTTAAACATGGACTATCTCGGTAGGAGTCACGATGATCCCACGGAATGTAATGACGAAACCCTGCCACCACCCAGCTGGAGGCCTGGCAACCAACTACTTGCATATCTACATGAACACAGGTAAGTCCAGATGATGTTTAATCTATAGTTGCGAGAAGTAGCAAATAAAAACTGTTTTGACAATCATTTTTTTTTTTTTTTCGTGGATTCACTCTTGTGGATTCGATCCCCACATGGGACAGCACTTAGTGTGATCTACATGTTGTAGTTCTGAGTCTGGGTGTTCTTTCTGTCCGTTTCATTTGTTTATGTGAAGTCCACCGCGACACGGGATATATTCCTAGAGCGGGAGTTCTCTTTTTCTTTAAACCAGATCTGCTATACTTATGTATGTCTACGCTGGAAGTAGTTTTGGCCATCGAGTAACTCTTAAATGTGTTAATCATTTGAAATAAAGGTGTGATGTTACAGTCACATGTTACAGTTACGCAGATACACAAATTTATAAGATATATATTGTCCACAGAGCCCGAGTAAACCAATTAGTGACGTTACCAGCTCAACGCGCATTTTTCGGTTCGTGTTCAGACGATGGGACTGTTCGATTGTGGGATGCGTCAAAGTTACAAGGGCATGCTCATATTAACAGGTATGATGATCATGTTTGAATAGAGATTTTAGGATAGGTATTTTAGGTCATAAAAAGGCAAAAATATGGAAATCTAACTCATCGCCGAGAATGCCTTTTTTCACTCTATTCTATCATCAACAATCTTTTATCTCTATTCTATACACGAAATATGTTCTCTTTATAATCTATACAAGCTTCTTGTTTTTGTGTATAATATTATTGTAATACTAGCTGACCCGCGCAACTTCGTCTGCGTCTCTCAATAGTAATAAATTTTCTCGGTTTTTGTAACATTCTTCATTGCTGCTCCGCTCCTATTGGTCTTAGCGTGATGATATATAGCCTATAGCCTTCCTCGATAAATGGGCTATCTAACAATGAAAGAATTTTTCGAATCGGACCAGTAGTTCCTGAAATTAGCGCGTTCAAACAAACAAACAAACAAACAAACAAACAAACTCTTCAGCTTTATAATATTAGTATAGATTGCTAGAGCGTAAAAGAAAAAAATCTACCTTTGCGTGGGAACACTTTTGATAAACCAAGTTTTTTTTTTTTTACTAGTGATGGACAATCTAATTTTGAATAAAGGTCAGTCTAGACATTATTATTGACTTGCTTAATATATAGAATGGAAGATTGACTCGAAATTAAGTCACTGTATTTAAGATTCCCGTCAACAGTCCTTGTTAATAAAGAGTACTAAATATACGTGAATATATAATATATATTTTTTTATTGTAATATTGCTAGAGCGTAAAAGAAAAAAATCTACCTTTCCGTGGGAACACTTTTGATAAACCAAGAAAAAATTTTTTTGCTAGTGATGGACTATCTAATTTTGAATAAAGATCAGTCTAGACATTATTATTGACTTGCTTAATATATAGAATGGAAGATTGACTCGAAATTAAGTCACTGTATTTAAGATTCCCGTCAACAGTCCTTGTTAATAAAGAGTACTAAATATACGTGAATATATAATATATATTTTTTTATTGTAATATTGCTAGAGCGTAAAAGAAAAAAATCTACCTTTCCGTGGGAACACTTTTGATAAACCAAGAAAAAATTTTTTTGCTAGTGATGGACTATCTAATTTTGAATAAAGATCAGTCTAGACATTATTATTGACTTGCTTAATATATAGAATGGAAGATTGACTCGAAATTAAGTCACTGTATTTAAGATTCCCGTCAACAGTCCTTGTTAATAAAGACTACTAAATATACGTGAATATAAAATATATATTTTTTTATATCTACGTATATTTAGTAGTCTTATATATAAATATATGTATGTATATTGTATGTCTGTATGTATGTATTTAGAAATATAAAGGTAGGTATGTTTATCAGTATTTTGGTTACCATAGCACAGGCTCTGCCTAGTTTGGGATCAGACGGCCGTGTGTGAGATGTGTGAAGTTATTATTATTATTATAGGTCATGTCGAGAGAGTAAGTGGTAAAAAATCTACATTTCCGTGGGAACACTTTTGATAAACCAAGAAAAATTATTTTCTTCACGTAATATAGAGTCGCCGCGGGTACGCTCCGTAAGATGTATACTGACCAGATGCCACATAATTATATAAAAGGTTTAATGGCAATCTCTGCCTACACCTGACGTGCGTGAGAATATATCTTTGACCATATGTTTTTTCAGGTCTAAGTCAATGTACAATAGGAACGCCGGTTCTATTGTGTCATTAGCTGCTTGTGAGGGCGGACAGTCCTTGGTAGCTGCTACGCAAGACTCTGTGTTCGTCTTGAGGTAAGCTACACTTGTTTAGCTTCAGGATTAAATATATATTATTGTAAAATAATTTGGTGCATAAAATTAAAAAGATGCAATGTCCATTTAAAAATACTAGGAGCCCACCTTAAGTTTATACGTGTTATAACAGGCAAAATAAGGTATTTTATCTTATGCTGCTCTATATATTACGATCCTATATCATTAAATTAAACAATACATAGCCAATTGACACCTCTACGAGTTCGAGAGACATCTAATAGCACGATGGTGTTAATAGTTACATATGTCACTTTTCCTCCAGATTTGGATCTGAGAGGTGTTTGGGCATCTGGTAACCTCACGAACGAAACGAACGAACTACTTAACACTGGTTTTCCGTTAGACAAGCATGACTCTTCTATGTTCAAACTATTAAAAATTTTCGATAACGTATTACAGGCTCGACGGCAATTCATCCCGCATGACTCTGTCGCAAGGTCGCCAGTTGGATGGAGACGGCGACGACGTGATGTGCGTGGCTGCGCCCGGTCAAAACACGCTCATCTCTTACGCCACCCTGATGGCCTCCATCGTGGGCTGGGACCTCAGAACACCCGGTATGTGTGAGCTTTTTATTAGTAGTGTGCCTTATTTAACAGACGAGATCAAACCATACATATATTTTGACAGCCCTGATAGCATCGTGCTAATAGCAGTCATCTCGACGCCTCCTACGTCGCTGAGTGTGGCACGTTCGATCCCCACATAGGACAACACTTTGTGTGATCCGAAAATTATTGTTTTGAGTCTGGGTGTTCTTTGTGTCCGTTTCATGAATGTCTGTAAAGTCCCCCGCGACACAGGATATATTTCTAGTGCAGAAGTTGGCTTTAAAAAATATGATATTTATAATACATTTGATTTTTTATTTATTTAATTATTATATTGGGCCCAATTTTATGTGGGCTCGTTATGACCTGCAACTTGCCTGTAATCGTTTACAGACAACACAAAAGAAAGAGATGAATAAAGGTAAGCTTGATACGTGGGATATCACAGATAGAAAAAGGAAGCTATGATGGATGCAGGATTAACACTAGCAGCTCGAAGTGGCAAGGGTTACATATCCTTATATTCGTTCTGTGATCAGAGACGCCATTAGGATAGGGACATCGGGGTGCATGGGGAACATGGGGTTCCCACACGGGGGGGGGGGGGGGGGTCGTCTACTCGTCTGTAGATGACCCGAGGTATGTCGGGGCACCAGGGACTTCCTTTCTAGGGTATACCTGGTTCCCCGGCTATTAGTACCCGGCGACGGCTTGCGGTTTTAGTCGGTTCGAGTCCGACATGCCACCGACAGGTGGTATCCGAGGGGATTTCCGCATGGAAAAAAAAAGAAAAAAAAAAAAAAAAAAGGATAGGGACATCGACTGACTAAATAAATTATCTTGAAATATATACAGGTTGTCAGGAAAACTACATGGAAAACGAAAACAAAACAGCTGATCGGGAAGTTGATAGACCATATAATAATCTAAGGTATTCATTGGCACTATTGCCCGCTTTCGTTTTCGGGAGCGTTTCTGTAACATTTTGGGTTTGTTTTGCAGGTAACGCTTGGAAGCTACAGGGGGATCTGAAGCAAGGAGTGACTACCTGTTTATACGCGGACCCCAGCGGTTATTTGGCCGTCGGCACCTCCAGCGGTTCCATTAGCGTTTGGGATCTGCGGTTTCTTCTCCCTATAACATCAGTTAGACATCCCAACGGTAAGTACGTTTTAATCGAATACAATGTTTTTGGAGAACAGGTTTCTAATCGCAGTTATGTAAGTTTAATTTTATTTTGATCTATATTACTTATTTCAACTTATATTATAAATGTCAAAATGAGTTTGTCCATTTGTTATGCTTTCATCGTTAAACTGCTCAAAATATCATTATAAAAAGTATACATGTCACGTTATTAGGACATTCATCATTTAAAGAATTTTCATCCTGAGGTCCTAGTGACGTGACGTCCTAGTGACGATCGAGCCGATGTGAAATAAACTTACACTAGGCCCTCTGAAAAATTTCATTTGTCAGGAATAGACTAAAAACTTTTAAGAGAGCGTACCCCCAATAGTAATATGTGAGTGTTGAGAGAAGGTAGAAGTTGAAATATAGGTGAAGTGAGTAACAAATGTGTTGCGTACAGCGGAGCGCATCCGTCGCATCGTGAGCGGCGGCGCGGGCGGCGCGGTGTGGGCGTGCGGCGCGCGCGACGCGGGCGCCTGGAGCCTCGAGTCCACGCAGCGCACGCGCGCGCTCTGGCCCTGCACCAACTCGCTGCAGCCGCTGCACTACGCCTCCGCGGTACCGCCTCTCTCGGCTTTCCTTACTCGGTGCAGGTGTCCGTGCTCGACGGTACTCACTGTCTGCCGGTAGCTTCACTATCGTTTTGGATTCGATCCCCACATGGGACGCCGCTTTGTGTGATCCATAAATTGTTGTTCCGAGTCTGGGTGTTCTTTATGTCCTTTTCGTGTATGTGTCTCGGTCTGGAACTTGGAAAACAAAGATATTCGAGCAGCCGTAGAACATTTTAAAAAAGCCTGGGGGATTAATCTAAATTAGTTTCTGTCTTGTTTGCTAATATTTCTCTCCTTAGTGATTACATTTCACCAATTTATCTTTATTCGTATCATATTTTACTAATCGTGTAGAATATAGTATATATTTAAAAATACATTTATATACACCCGGTTTGATAGCAACTAAAAATTACATTCGGCAATATGTATCCATTCTTTAAAAAGACGTAAGTGTATAATGTAAACTTAAACAACCACAAAATCTTCAATTAATCCTTAATTCTACAAATAATTAATAATAAATAATATTTTATAATATTTCCAGGCGTCCCACTATTTAAGTGCGATTTACTGTGGAGTTCGAGAAGGCAATCGCTTCGTAGTAACGGGAGGTTCAGACTTACGGCTGCGCTACTGGGACATCGAACATCCTGAGGATTCGTACGTTTTGGTCCACGCACCCAACGACCAGCTGAAGAGTTCGCCCAGTGCCAAGTACAGGTAAAAATATTGTGACAAATTATAATTGTCCTTCTTATTTTCTATTTGCTATTTCCTTGCTGACTTATATTAGTATTGCAACTGTTTACCTTGGTGAGACATTTCGCAAAGCGTCACTACCACATCATACTTACAACTACTTACTTATATTATACTTATATAATTACTACATACTTATAACTAATTTTGACAATATGTGGCATTATTACTGATATGTATGACAATTACGATGTACATAGTATTTACTGTAATGTAGTAGTATAAGAATAGTAAATTGATTATTTCATTTATATTTCATATCTGATTAACAATTGCTTTACCAATAAATAACAACAACTCAATGCAAAACTAAAATAAGTAACCTAACCTAACTACTAAAGTGGTGAATAAAAAAACAAACTTTTAAAATTAAATAATCCGAGATTTGGAGGGATCCGTTTTAGATATTTATTCAATCTATGTAGAACTCACCCCCTCTAAATCTTTATAATGATAATTTATTTTCTTTTTATATTTTACTAGGACTGAAAACAACTAAATGTCTGCTGGGCATAAGCGTCATTTGATGCTAAATCAGGGCAGTTACACTAGTGACAACTAGATGGCGCTACAAGCAAATTAGAAGTCGGTGTTAAGAGTCTCCGAATATGAATGACTACCCTAGTCGACTGTAGTGAAATCATACTTACCTGGCATAGGGGATACCGTGATCATGAAGGCGGTTCCCCCAGGGCGAGACCTTTCCATTGCACTGCGGTTGGGTTGACCCCTGCGATTATCCCTAATGTGGATAACTCGGATGCGTAATTTTTGGTAGTGGGGACTGCGTACGCGCTGTCCCCCTTGTATTTGAAGATTCGTTAGGGATTGAAATTTTATTAAATAGATGTATAAGTAGTAAATTTTGAATTAAATATTTGTCTTTTACTATAGAGATGGGTCGCACTACTACTTTTTTTCGGACCTTGACACTACGCCATCTAATCAATCCAGAAGTAGTTTGGTTTTAAAATTTACGAAGTCTTCCGCCTTTATTGTAGAAAGAGAACGGATCGGTCGAAACAGGAGATGCTGCAGGTTCGGGCAATTGGTGACGCCCCAGGACACGGCATCAAACTGCTCGTTATTATAATCTTATAACTATTATATGATGGAAAGCTTAAAAACAAATTAATTTGATTCATATTTGTGTTTATTAAAACAGCGTAATAGCGAATAATAAATGTGTTTTTTTTCTTCAATAGGAGCCGAATAATAGACGGCACAACTGTCATCCAAGAATGTTGCAAGCCGAACTCTTCACCGCCAGGCTCCCTTATTGACGACAACGTGTATCGCAGTGTGGAATCACGCTCTTTCTACCACACGGCACCTATCACAGACCTAACAGTTGTAGAAGGGACCAAACCATATCTTGTGAGTTCGGCAGCTGATGGCGTAATCAACGTATGGAAATAATAGTAAAATGTGATGACATAAGTATTATAATAATAACAACTTTACACATCTCAGACATGAATATCTTATCTGGCAAACTAGACAAAGTCTGCAATAATCAGACTGCTAATAAGCACATTTATTACATTATCATACATATTATAGATAAATTTCGACTATCACCCGTTTTATTGTATATGAAATTTGAATGTGAGAGTATCTGGACATAAATTTACTTCTTAATACTGCTAAACGTAATCTAAAAATAAGCAGGAATACTCTGGACATAAATTTACTTCTTAATACTGCTAAACGTAATCTAAAAATAAGCAGGAATACGAGCAGAACGTAGGGATTTTTTGGCGATATTTAATTTTCTTCTACCATTAATTTGAGTGCTTTTTTTCACAATTCGATTTCTTCAAATCAGTTTATTTAAAAATCAAGGTGCTTATTGTATATTGAGCTAGCATATTCTTCTCATCTTTGTACAGTTATAGTCTATAAGAGAGATTAAAATCCACTACATGTACAGACTGAACACATATTTTTAGCGTGGCGACGTGCTAGGATATGCTCTACTCTTCGGCATAGACCGCGAGAGCAGTGGCGTTGTACTCCACTCTCTCTCTCGTGTTCTGCCATCTCCTTTGCGAATGTCATCTTTTTCTGATCACAATTATATGTAATTAAGTTCCTTAATAAATATAGTCAATTTTTAAACGTAAAATGTAAATAGCTATAGAAAATGTTGCGTGGGTTACATACTGTTTTTCACTTTGTAGTCTTATATTGTTGTCATGAATAACTACTGTTAATGATAATGTTTATTATGAATAGAGAAATAACAACATAACCAGTTTTAATCGATCTAAGTGGCGTGCAATGGTGATGAGATTTGTATATTGAGATCTACAAATTGTACAAGTTATTTGTTTTTAATAAATATCAAACATATGCTCATGTATTGCCGGGATTCTATAATCGATGTAACAACAATATTTTTTTACCTCAATTATTTCGTTTTAGAAATGCATACCTAAATAGGCACTTGTTCTAAAATGTATAATAAAACATGACATTATATATCATAATGATGTGAAATATTACAGTTAATTATAGTGTTTATGTCTGGTGTCATAAATAATAGAAATGTTGCGCCATTAAAGAAAGTATATATTAGTACGTCAAACAGATCAAAGTTGGGTTGTAACTGTTTGTTCGGTTAATAAAATTTAATAAATAACGCCTCATAAGTAAAGTCTTAAGGCTGTATTCAGGTAGTAGAGTTTATTGCAGTGATATTTTATTTTTTTGAAATGGTAGGGTAGGTAAGTATCTTATACCACAGCCTAATAGACAAAAGATCTCCATTATTGCTTTATTAGAAACCTACTAGGTATTATCAACCCTTAGCTTATAATTTTAAATGATATAGTAAACATTATAAATCATATACATTTTGCATATGATTTTTTATGAGTTGTTTGTTATGAGTTCCTATATGATGATTCGATTTACGTAATCTGATCGCTTTTTTCAAATTTGATTTATGACAATTATTGTATTCTGAAAAATTATATTGCTTAATAAATACGTTAAGTGATGGGAGTTATATTAAATTGACGACTGAAATAATTATTGTAAGAAATTTAGACACTTATTTTTTTATAATTAGTTTAATCCTAAATTTGTTAGACCATAAGACTCTATTTTTGCATAATAAAACTAATGCTAATGGAAAACCTTTTTTGTTATTCAACCACTAAATTGATGGTTTTTGTCCTTGTCCTTTGTGGCCTTTCCAATCAGGTAAACATGCCGAGTACACGACTCTAACTCCAATTCTGCTAGCTGCATCCCTTTCCCAAGCACCGAGCACCCTGGCTCTATCTGTTTTCCTTGCCTAAAATCTGGGAGTGTAATTCGTTCCTGGATTACACTCCCAATGAAGCTTTAATTGCAGCAGGCCAGCCGTCTTATTTTCTTGTACGTGTGGAAACTCGCTCGGGCAGTGTGAAACAGAATGCCAAGCAGCGGGAGGGACCTGGGAACAGCTTTTATTAAAACATCTGGAAGGCCAGCCGTCTATGATAACCATGATACATTTTTCTGTTTTTAACAATGACCCAAAGAATTTTACTCTTCACCAAACAATTTAGGTGTCTGGAAAAACCTCTCCTTTTTACAAAATAATTTTGAATAGCAATAAAATCAAAATGCCGTTGAATTTTTAATAGCAATAAAATCAAAATGCTGTTGTTATTTTGAACTTAACTTTATTGTACAAAATTATATACTAACAACATAATAAATTCGAATCACAAAATATGGTTTATTTTTTGTCTAAATGCATTGATAGAAAAGTACTTATTCTATGCAGCTGCTGTTTTTATAAACAAACTTTTGAATCAAAAATGAGTCATAGAGCTCAATAACATACTGTAATATACAGTAATACATTCATGGCCCTAGCTTTCATAGATTTTAGACTTGGGTAGAACTGCCATCATACTATACATATAGGTCTACTAAAAATTCAAAGACCTGAAAGCCAAGCTCATACCATGCTATTTGAGATTTTCAAATGATTTGTGCAAACTTCAAGTTACAATTAGATTATGGCTCATGTCATGATTATTTCAGTAGTTTATAGCAGTTCTTTAGTGATAATAACATCTCTGAAGGTCACAATCAGAAAGTGTACTTGAAAAAGAAATTTAAACAGTGAATAAACATTAATATTCGAGTCAGAATTATGAAAATATATAAGAATTTTTTCTCATAAAGGTTAATTTAAAATATTTTGTAATTAAACATTTGTTTGGATATTTAACATAATAGGTCTCTCTAATTATTATATATTTCTGATCACTAAATTTTTAACACCCATTTGTTTTTGTTGATAATATTATCACACTTTTGTCTATGGAGCCCGAATCACACATTTTCACATGCAAACACTTTCCTATTACTTACTACGGCAAGTCTATGAACAATTACACTATTATTTCTTCTCATCTGGAATATCTTCTAGAAGCTTCTGTAGGTCAATTCCATCAAACTTAGAGTTCTGTGTGTTTGATGCATGTGCTAAAAAGAGTTCTTTCAAAAATTGTAACTCTTTTGTCAAGGTCTTTACTCTATCTTCTAGAACTTGGTTCTCTGCTTTCAAATTGCTGACCCTTGTGAATGTTTCCTGTGTCTTCTGTTTTGACTTAAATCGGCTCTTTTTTACTGCCTGCAACAAATAATAAAACGTTTTTAAATATGATGACAGAATTAAATGTAGGAAGTTAGTTTTTTATACTTTCTTTAGATGGCTGTAAATAAATTACAGCTTATAAGAATAGCCTGGGACATCTCACATCTGCTGCTGTGCTAGACTGATCCCAAACTATGTAAAGTATATACCTACTATGATAATTAGACCACAAATAACAATTATAACTGTCAATCTTTTATTTTTCTGGGATGGGAATAGAACCCACAACCTCTGACTCAGTATTCAGGATAAGTAACCACTGGACAAACAAGCCCATTATTATTTGCTAAAAATGTTACATGCCAATTTTGTATCATAATTTGTACCTCATGTACATGTAAATTAATGTTAAATTGCATAATCTGATAACCATTACAAAAAAGCATATATTATCAAATATTATTTGATTCAAGTCTATAAATGCATTAACAGTAGGCACATACAAGTCAATCAACTATAGGTTAACGACTTTTCAGGTTTTTTTTGTTGATGTCACGATATATGTTTTAATTACACAAAGGTTCAACTACATATTAGTTTGAAAATGTTTTTTTAATAGGTATAGATTGAAGCAATGCGAAGGGGAATACCGTAAGTAGGAAATCCCCAGGAACTCTGACATTGGCCGCTAAAACTTGAGATAAATAGCAATCAATATTACACAAGTTATTTACCATTTTCTTATCTTTGTATTTAATGGCATTTGGTTAAATAAATTTATTGAAGAACAGTTGTTACAATAACCAACAATAGTTTCAGTACTTTTTAAATTCTTTATTTATTGCACCATATTATTTGTGCAATAATAATTGATATTCATAACATATACAAATGTTTATATTGATCAAATTTATTAATCTGTAAAATAACTGTATAAACCATAAACAACTGATGACCACAAATATTGTGCAATATTTATCTAGTGGTGTAACAAACAAAAAAATTACACCTACATGATGAAAACTGAAACTAAATTCAATTAAGTATAGAATAAAGCTTTTTCCTAAAGCAAAAAATAGTCTGTTCTATTTTTTTTTTCAAAAATTATGTACTAAAAGATGTTGTAATACTGTATGACTATTACAATCAAGTACCGGAGTGCAATAGGAGTGTGATATTATTTATGCTGCAATTAATGTATGTCAAGTTCTTATCAGGTTGAGATAGCTAAATAAAACATTGTATAAAGATAAAGCAGAATAAATTAATACTGGTCACTGGATATTCCCCTAGCTATTTAGAGTAACTTTTTCCTCAAACAAACTAAAACCACAAAACGACAGTTGTCAAACAAGTTTATACACTAATGGTATATTATACAAACCTCATTGTTTCTGTCCCTTTTGCGTCTGTAATCGTCGTCATCTTCATCAACATCACTGACCCCTCGTCGTCCACGTTTTGGAGGCATATCGCCAAAATAGTCTTTAACGTCGTCTAATATCATCAAACTTATTCACAGACCAAACTCGCAAACTCTTCACTGAATGCACAGTAAAACTTCTCGATTGCAATAGCAGATATGGTTCAAACACGGGTTATTTATTTAGTTTTTTACTAAGAATTCATGACGCAACTTAGTTGTATCGTAGATCCTTTACCTAAATGTAACACTTCACACAAACAATAAATGTCTTATCAAGGAAAGTTGCTCTAGTTGCACTCTTTAAATTCACTGAGCAACAAAAAGAGCTAACAACAAACACGACACTTAGCTTGTACACGTCCCGCGATGAATTAAATGGCTCTGAAACGTACGACTATGGCAACTAAATATAAATAGGTTGCGCATAAGTCGCAATTTCAACCAATTTCAACATTTGCATTACATTTCGTCATGCGTCATAATGACGTCAACAGTCAAACCGGTGAAACCATGTTTTGTTGTAGGTATTCTACCACAACGTAAAGGTTTTCTACTAAAAATTTACAACAGTTGTTTAATAAAAATCTACTAACTCCAAATATTGATGGGGTCATGAAAAAAAACATTAAACAGTTTTATTAGCTATAGATATAAAAAATTAAAATCCTGCCTATTCAAATTTCAGCAACAATAGAATAGAATGACTAATACAGCTGGTCGAACTAGGACGAGCACCGCTTAGTAGTACTTTACTTAAATAAGAAGTAGAATTAAATACCTGGGATACTAGGTCACCGACGATCCCTCAAATAACCTAAGAGTTAAAAAGACAGTGAGATATAACACGTCAAGGTCACCATTGGAATGCAATCGTCAAGGGAAGTTGCATCATAAATATAAACAAACCAAACGTGTAAACCAAATTTCAGGTCAATCGGTTGAAGATATCGAACACCCGAACAAACAAAGTTACTTACATACATAGCAAGTTAAAATAAAGCTAATATTATGTGAATTACTGACGAAATTTACTGACAAAATAACATAAGAATGTGAGTCTGAAATAAGGGTCTTATATTCATTAGTGATGTGGTGACTCCCACATACAAAGAAACAGAAACATACTACTCCGCCATCTAACGAAGACACACCGGACTACGGAGTAACTCCTGAATGAGAATTGTTAATCCTGTATTGCGATATGAAGAATTCGCCGCGACCCGCCAGGCATGATCACCTCGCCTGGTCGGAGGTTCCTCCCTTTGTGTTGGAGGGTCACGACAACCGTTCCTCCACAGTATCATATAGTAAACTTTTTATTAATTACCTGCACGACAATAGCTTGTAAAGCAGATTGGAATGGACGGGCATTATCCTCATGCTATGCCATGACTTTAAAGGAAACTGGCGGCAAACGCGCATGCTCGCATCACCTCATGTGTACTTGCTTAACTTCGTCATCAGTCGTCAGTGGCGAGTGGCGAGCACAAAAAATCCTTTGTGTGCAGAACCAAAACTATTTCCATAGCATTTAGCGATATCAGTGGCGACAACTACCTAACTGTATGGAGGTGGAGGTTGAAGCTTCCCGTCTCAACATCACTTAACACCATCTCAACTCAACATTATTATTACTCAACATAACACCATCAACAATGGTCTCAACCGAGTACTTGACTTAGTTTTAAGTTGTGCGGATCATGTAGCGCCCACTGTTTCGGTATCCAGGGTCAGTCTTGTTGTATCAGAAATGCACCACCTTCCATTACAAATTACAGTGAATATAAATAGATTTTACCTACCTACCCTTACGTCTAGAACCCAACATATAAACAAAGAAAATCCTATACGTTTCCGTAACTTTAGAAAAGCAAATTATTGCTAACTTTACTCACAATTATCTCTCATTGATTGGTCGCCGCTATATAAGACAACAGACCCTAATCAAGCCGTGTCTTACTTGTACGATAAAATAAATAATGCCTTTGAGAAGTTTGTCCCTTACACTAAACTATCAAATACACCTAATAAATATCCTGAATGGTAAAATCGCGAATTACTATATTATTTACATTTAAAAAACTTCTTCCACAAAACATACAAAATGTCGAATAAAAACCAATTATATTATGCGTTTTTTTAGTTATTATCGAAAACAATTTAAATCTTTAATAGAAAAAAACAAATATACCCACTTTAAAAAAATTGCAAATAGTATTTTATATAACCCAAATACTTTTGGTCCTTTATTAAACAAACTAGGAAGTCAAATGAACCTTCAACATTCGGCATGTTAAACTCGCAACAAGTGGCTGATGCTTTTGACACGTTCTTCAGCAGTGTTTTTGTCCAGTGCGCCCGTACTGGACCCGCGCTCTGCGATGACAGCCGCCCTAAACTTACATCATGCATGTACCGGACCTGATGTTCACGTTCAAGTAGACTACATAAAAAAACGTGATGTATTAAACGCTCTAAAAAAACTGCGACCCAAATTCACCCAGGGTCCCGATGGGGTACCTCAGATAATTGTTCGCGACTGCTATGCAGTTTTCGCGAATCCACTTCTACATATATTTAACTTATGTCTCAAACATCATATCTATCCTTCTGTATGGAAAACAACCAAAGTTCTACCCATACACAAGAGTGGCTCCATGGGTGATGTACACAATTATCGTGCAGTAGCAGTTTTTATCGGTTTTCGGTAAAGTAATGGAATCAATATTATACAATCCCATATACAATCAGCTACGAGGATGGTTCTGTGACCAACAGCACGGTTTTTTGCCGGGCCGATTGACCACATCAAACCTCTTACATATTACAATGATGATTTCAAATGAAATTGATGCGAGGAAACAGGTGGACGTGGCGTATTTTGATTTTCAAAAGGCATTTCATCAGATAAATAATGATGTGCTGCTTACCAAGATGGCGAACATAGGTTTTTCGGAAAATCTCATATGTTTCTTCTCAAACTACTTTTCAAGTCGTAAACAGTATGTTTTATGCAGCAATTCTAAATCTAAAGAATATAGCATCTATTCAGGTAGGTATAGGTCAAGGCAGCTGTCTTGGCCCATTATTCTTCTTAATAATAATAAATGATTTACCATCTAAAGTTCAAAATAGTACCTGCTTGATGTTCGCCGATGACCTTAAATTAGCGCGGCCGATTGCCACCACCTCTGACTGCGCTCTCTTACAGGCCGATATTGATACTGTCTGTAATTGGGGTCGCGTAAACAGTTTAAACCTTAACATTAACAAGTGTGTTGTGGTGTCATATGGTCGGGCCCGTTCTCTAATTCACGAGAATTACACAATATCGCAAACCGTCTTGCGACGAGCGACGACAGTGAAGGATTTGGGTATTTGGTTTGATACTCAATTGACATTTCGCGACCATTTTGATAAAATGTGTAAAAAGGTTCGGAAAAGTCTCGGATTTGTTCTAAGACAATCCAATCGCTTTAACAGCAAACTAACACTGAGTGTCTTATTTAATGCGTATGTTCGAAGTACCTTGGAGACGAATGCTTATGCATTTAACTTTAGTGTGGAATCCATACTAGGCCCAACATGTACTGCAGGTGGAGAAGGTGCAGAAGTCTTTCGTTAGATACCTATTTAAACGATTGTATTATTATTATCCATATTTGTACCCCACATTATATGTTATAGAGATGGTCGACTATCGTATGTTGGCGGTACGTCGTAACCTAGCATATGTCTTTCGCTTAATACGTGGTTTTACATATAAACCAACATTGCTGGCGCAGATAGATTTCCACGTGCCGCGCCGCGGCGCGTCTACGGTGCGCGGACCCCAACAACACCCGTTTGCAGTGCCGCTGGCGCGCACTAACCTGTGTCGGTATGCACCCCTGTCACGAGCACTAAGGTATATTAATGAAATCGTGTCATTTAGCCCATCAATAGATTTATTCTTATGCAGCGAGGGAGCGCTTCTCAAGGCAGCAGGGTGTTGCATGGAGACGTTGACAGTTTCCAGTACTGTACAGATTAATTGATGGCTATCCTAACAGTGACTTGGTGTATGTGATGTTATTCTTTATTATTAATGCTATCTTTTCGTTTTATATTGTGTACGGGTTTTGTTTTACCAAATTTTGTCATTTGTTTTGTGTTGAATTTATTACGTTTGTGTCCGAATATGTTACTGTTTTTTACAATTTTATTATATGCTGATGAATTCTTATTGCAATGTTACCTACGTTCTGTTTTACGACTTGAATGCTTTTTATTTTACAATGTGATGATACTGTAAGTCCATAATCACTTTCTGCGCATGGATTGTTCTGTTAGCATTAAGGTATCTGTAAATAATAATAAATAAATAAAATAAATCACTCGCCGAGGGGCTCCCAAACGCCTTGTGAGACTATGAAGTACCTGCATGTATCTATGCGGGTTTTGTTAAAAAAATTAAGCAGTGTTGACGTTCCAGTAATAAAGTTCTAAACTAAGGGATTTCACGAATATTTAGCAAGATCAAGTTACCTGCTAATTTTCCGACTTTTAAGGAATTAGTTAGGAGGAAATAAGTTGGCAACAACTAAATGTAATTTAATTGTAGTAAGGATTTAAATCATTTCGTTGTTCGTTTCATAATTTTGTCGAAATTATATAAAAATAATAAAAAACTGGAGAATTCAAATATTGCCATGTGACACCAGGAAATCATTATAGTATTGTATATTGCCAAATATTGGTCAATTGCCCAAGTACCTTCATAATTGACATGCGAGCAAAACACACAAAGCTAAAAAACAATCTATACTTTCTGTCATCTCATTTCTAAATGGAACTTCTGACAGACAGAAGTAATGAAAAATATGGTTAGATTTTACAAATTGAATAAGTAGATATAAAATATCTCGGGATAGTCTAAGATTATTTTAGTTTGAATCAAACCTATGCTTTTAAGCTTTTTGTCAGTAAGGACTTTGTTGCTGTAGAATTGTAGAACTCGTTATAGCTTAAACTATATGATTTTAACCCAAAGGTTATTGTATAAGATTATATACTTAATAGTCAATTGAATCAAGTTTGGA